TTTTGAGACTGTGTGATCAGATGTAGACTCACAGGCAATTTCCCCCTCCCCAACCTTCGCTTACCATCTAGCCTGACAAAGAGTTCTGCAGAACTCAAAAGCATGCACACTATTTTGTGATATTTTAGTAAGGCTCACAAAGGTATTGCCCAAAAAATGGATTTTGGAATAATTTTTATGGAGCAAAGGTTGAGTTTCTACATGTGTAATAAGCAAGAACGTGAGATAATAAAATCCATTGTCCTGGGAGCACCCTGTGTTCGTCATAACACTTGAAAATAGCAAGTCTTGTTTCTAGAGACACACAGGTATGTTCTGGAAACTCTCATCTCACACAAACAAGAATATTCTCTCCCTATGAAGTGTGTCAGAACTTCAAGACATACTTTTTGTCCATGAGCAGTAAATCCAATCAAAGTTGTCCTTTCTCCTCAAAGCGTTCTATGGCTCACATGCAAACTTTGAAAATGTACAAAAATGACTTGAAAATGAAGTCATTGTCTTACCCCGAAAGCTGTGAAAAGAATTCTAGCACAAATATATATTGCAGTATGTTTTCCTTATATGCTAGATAGTTTCCATAATCTTTTAGTTTTACAACACTGGGAGGTGGTAAAAAGGATTTGTGAAACAGTTGCATGTACCTTTAAAGTACTAGATAGGAAAGCTACATATGGGCACCAATTTACTCAGGAGGAAATTCCATCGAGCTCAATGGTACTTACTCCCAGGTAAGTAGATCTAAGATTGCAGCCTTAAAATGTGAAGTTTAATCAGCCCTGATTGAATTGATTTGCATGGGGAGGGGAAGAATGGAAGAAGAAGCCAACTAATCTTGTCCATCCAGTGGATAAATCTATAACTCAAACCAGGCCAAGTAAGAGTCAGTAAAGGAAGATCATTTTCACAAGTAACACTAAACTATAGTTCAGTACTACATGGGCATGTCTGAATAGCCCGAGCAAAATATTGGGTTCACACATTCCCCACTCCTCTTCCAGTACAACTGGGAGATTTTAGTTTTACTTTTTTAAAGAGTCCTGCTGCCTTAGCATTATGTTTGAACCAGGGATATTGGTTAAGAAGCCAGGTGCATAACCCATCATTTTAAATTGGCTTGTTGTGAAATTTACTAATGGAAAACAAGGTTTCTTTAAAAGCCAAACAAAACTCAGTCAAAGTCCTGCTCCTGGCTTGTTCAGCTCATCCACGTAGCACTAAACCATGGTTTAGGATGATATGAGAACATGTCACTGTGTAAAAGTCTACTTAAGCCAGTAATATATTAAAGGTCAAGGGTGAAGCTTTTCTGTCTTTTCCTGCTGGAGTTCAATGTCACATGAGACATCTGAATTGAAAACATTTGGCTTAGGACCAGAAAAACAAAAATACTTTATATTAACTTCTCTTATCCTCTGGAGACTAACACAGAGACAGGAACTGCAGTTCAGGCATCCATTAGATTATTTTGTTATATATGTGTTAGTTTCAACTGAAATTCTTTGTATATTACAACTTGCTTGCAAAAATTGATGGGGCAGTTATGCTCCTTTAATTTGTAATGTTATGGTCAGTGGTATATGCCACTACTATGATAACTCCTCAAAAATATGAAGTGATTGAGGTGAACTGCCATGAGATACAAGAGAAGGGTTTAAGCCTTCTTTAGAATTAATTACGTGATAAAAACTGGTTGACTGCCTTACATTATACATCTGAATGAGCAAACGAAGTCTGGTGGCTTGCACAGACCCACAACTACAGCTCACCACAATCTACCACTACACCCACATAAATTGTCCCTAAACATTTGCAGGACTATAAAGCCAACATACTTAGTAGGGGAAAGGAGATGATCTATCAAGGATGTCCACTGAATGCCTTAGCATCAGCTTCTTCTATTTAAATTAGCAGGATGGGCAATGCCAGTTGCTTTATTGCCGTGTTAGCTAAGGTGGTGTCTTCTGCATGTCGTGGAGTACAAGATCCATCCCATCCTGATCACAGGCCATACTGGCTGGAGCTGATGAGAGCTGTAGCTGATAACCATGTTAGTGACCTCTGCTTTAACATGTGAGTAGATTTTTAAGGGCAAGACAAAGAATGTCTAAGATGGCGGGCAGAAGAAGGGAGCAGGAAAGTGGGATGGCGCTGCTGCCTAAAACAGTGACAGGGATCCAGTAGCACTCCGTATGTTGTTGGATTTACATCTGGCCCCAGCCAGCGTGGCCAACAGTCTAGGATGGTGGAAATCATAGTCCAGCAACCTCTGGAGGGGGCCACCAGTGTCCCCCCACCCACATGCTAAAAGAATGTTGGCAAGCAAGATGCAGACGGGTTGCAAACCGAATGCTAATGATGTAGGGAAGCAAAACTGGTGATTCAGTTAAGAGATTCTGGGGTGTTGCCCCTTGTGCCTCCACTGGGCACACAATTCAGTCCTCCAACACATTTGAGTTTGGCACCCTGCTTTATATATTACTGCCAAATATTTATATAGTGCTGCCAAATATTATCTGCGCAACCAAGTAGACAAGGCAAATCGTTTTCTGAGTGCTGGAGCCCGAGGAGCACACTGAACCACAAATAAACCCCCATATTGCTGTTGAGTGCTTTAACTGTTCCCCTAATGTTGGCACTTCTTACTATTTCCCATCACGTAGGACACCACATGGGACAACACCACTTATAGTCCCCAGAGAGACAACTCCCAGTGTTTACTGCCAATATTTACTAATCTGGGACTTCCAATCAGAGGCAAAAAATTTTTTTACTTTCCTCATTTCAAATGGACAAAAGCACAAAAGAAAACTAAACATTTCAAGCATGTTTTGTTATTTGTATGGTGGTGAGTAAATCTGCGTCTCAGCTGTACAATTTCAGACTGGGAGCTCACATGACTGGATCTTTTACAAAGAGACAATTGCATACAGAAAACGAGCATGTCAGAGAGAAGCTTTTCTCCTTACATACTAGTTCTCTATGTGCAGATGTTGTTTGCATGAAAGAGTATTTATTTAATCAATCAGTTCAATCAATCAAATCAATCAATCAATCAATCAATCACTTGAACCTGCAGTCTGAAGCAGTACATATTAATCAACCTCAACAATATATCAGATTTTGATAGTTGAAGAGGACTGTTAGGGTGAGTGTATGAAATCAACATTTACAGAGAAAAGGAGGAGAAATTCAGTATTAGTGCTGCTGGGTACCGAACATTAATCCTCTCTGCCTTTTCTTCTCTTACTAGAGCAACAGCTTTATGCCCGATACTAAAACAGTACAGTTCATCTCTGATCCTCCTTCTTAACATATAAAGATTCATACAGTCCCAAGTACTGGGGGAGTGAGGAAAACTGGCAGAATCCCACCAATTAGGGACCTTCAAGCCTCTGTGTGAAGAACGGGTCTCATTCAGTCTAGTGCTGTAACAGCCAAATAGTTTACAGAACACAAAAAACACACAATAAAGGCAGATGTTTAGAAACTCCCATACTATGTATTAGCTCCTTATCACCATCTTAAGATTCCCCCCTCCCCCTCTTTTCGAGGCACATAAAATAGTCACCGATGAAAAGTACAGAATATTATATTACTACCAGTTTAGGGTGATATTTTTCAAATAAGTTTACCTGTTCTTAATTCATATCATAAATATCAGTCTGTGAACCATAGCAACATAAACAGTCTCTTCCATGCATATCTTCAACAATACAAGTTAAGTTAATTCTGAAATCTTTGCAATGTTATAGTAAAAAATTTTTTTTAATTGTATAAAGTGATAAAAATAAATGTAGAAATATAGCAAAATGCTCCTTTAGGGATACACTTGCCTTCATGTTTATATGTAGAGAACAGGGTAGAGAGAGAGTATATTATCAAACCATCCAATTAAGTCATTAATGCATTGAGGCTTAGTTTTTCTAACAACTCTGAAGTGAGCAGATTCAGTAAAGCTGTCATTCAAGTTTGAGTCACAGTGTAAGAACTTTGCTTTCGCTACTTAGAATAGGACAACTTGTCACAGTTACTGTAATTTTTCAGAACTGCCATAATGTTTAAGATAGTAAACAGTTCAATTTATCAGAATGGTAAGTTACTATGTTAGTCATGTAGTCTTGATGCTTAAATTCCTAAAATACAGTACATATTGTAAGTTCCAGTAAAGTACACTGACATAAGCATTAAAAAAAAATCAAACTGAGCTATTTTAACTACAACAGTATGCAACATAAAGTAAGCAAATAACTTTATTAGGATTTCTATCATATATATAACAGAAAGTACCTAGACATTTATATGGAATACACAAATGTTTGATGAGGAAACATGAACAAAATCTTTCAAAAGTAATCTAAATCTGATTTCTGTAAAAATGTTTCAATACAACTGCAGTATGAAACCTCAAAATCATACACAGATTTTCAGCTATCATGTTAGACTCACAGCAGAAAATCCATTTATCCTCCAAGTAACACAAGTCTATTATTACATGCAGCTTACTTAATATTAATTTTAATGAATAGATTGGTTGTTCGAATTGCTAGCATTTTTAAAACCATGCCTCATTAAAAAGGTTTCTAATGCAAGAAGTTTAATTCTGGCAATTGTACTATGATACAGCCAGAATGAGAACCAGTAACCAGATACTTGCAGCAAACATATTTAAAATTGGCAACAAACGACATAAAGATAATATAAACTCAAACACAAACTGGCTTTAAGGCCAGCAATGAACTAGGAAACAATAAAAGCATTTCTGTGTACAGAGTTTAGCAATTAGTTAGAAAGGAAGAACCTTGTTTAAGAAAGACCCGTTTATTACTTTTGCACACATTAATAAATCTTGATATAAACACAAAGCATGTTTCAATGAAAACAGCATCCTGCTTATTACTGCAAAAGGTCTTAGAAAAACACACTCTTCTGCTCTTTAAAGGCAGTTCTGTAATTCGTACTATGAAACAAAACCTTTGGTTACAATGAATGAACCATACCTTCTGCAGTCTAAGTATCCACAGCCTGCTGAACCAAATCACATCCACTTGAAGCAAAAGCTACATTGGATATGGAATGCAAGAGCAAACACACACACGCCAAGCAGCCCAAACAAGCCAACTGTATTCAGCTATACAGGATGACAGTCTGCTCTCGTCTCAAGAGGCTATGTCTAAGAGCCTGTACAGAAACTAATGTGTAGCGCCAAATCTAATCCTTTTGCTGAATTTCACATGCTGCTGCTTCACCTCTTCAGTTCCTAGTTTCTCAACAGTCCCATTTTAAAAAAAAACACCCACACCCACAAACAAACCTGTAAGAGCCACACAGAGAAAGAAAATCTGGATCATGTCACTTGCTGAGACATTTCTGGACCTTGCATATCTGGTGCTATTTTAATTTTTGCAAATTGAATAATTTTTAAAAATAAAACTGAAAATGCCAATTCAGATACAATTATAGTATAGCATGAATTCCTGCAAAGCACAAGCTTCTCAAGACTTAATACTTGATCTCATTGGGTTATTTTAACTAGTAATAGTTTACAATACCTATAACTGATATTTTTAGGTGTCCTCAAGGGATGTAAAGGTTTAAAATAAAACAGTGGAGGCTGTTCCCAATGCCCAAGTTCCCCAAATCCTAAAAATATAGTGACACTTCTGCCTACTTCTGAGGACAAACTTCCTCAGCACAAGCAATGTGAAGAATCGTGGCAATAGGCAGTGACCCTTCAAGGCCCATGACAGTCTAGAATCATAGAAATGTAAGAAGGAAGGGACCCAGGGGGTCATCTAGTCTAACCCCCTGCAATGCAGGAATCCTGTCCACAGCCACCCTAGGTGGACTTGAACCACCAAACATCTGGTCTAACAGCCAGATGGACATGAATTTGGGCAGGACAGAAAGGGAAGTGGGACTCTGCTTAACACACAACACTGCACATTCAGGGTTTCTGTTTAGGCAGAGAGATATGAACCACCTCACTCGTCAGTCCATAATCCAGAGGACACAAGAATTGCACAAGTTCACCTTTATGATGTTATCTTCCTTTGCTTCTTCAACCAACATCACTTTTTTTACCCCATGAGAGAAATCTAGACTGCAGCCCTGTTCCAAAATATTTAGCAATATGAAGCTACTTCATTAAAACTGACCTTGCAGTTACAGTGGAATGACTAAGAGAGAGACTGATATGCATGAGTAATAACTGCTGCTTGTAACAAAAGAAACCAAGTAGAGTTCCAGAGGAAAGCAGCACAGATAAGCCTTTTGAATGGTATCCAATAAATGTCAGGCATTGTTTGGGGGTGAGGGTGGGGGTAGACCGGGGGGGGGGGACTAAGCTATGGCTCTTTTGTGGTGGGTTCTGGGCCTCCTGCCCCCTTCTCCTCTTTTAAAACTTAAATAAACCTTTGTTTATTCTAGGGCAGCTGGGAGCACTGCAAAGCACCATGCTATTGAGATCCCACCCAGCCGCCACCTTAATTTGCCAGAAGCATCTATACATATACATTAGTAGAGGCAAATCTTATATAAATTTGTGACACGGTAGTATGCTCCCGGGATGCGGGTGGCGCTGTGGGTAAAACCTCAGCGCCTAGGACTTGCCGATCGCATGGTCGGCGGTTCGAATCCCCGTGGCGGGGTGCGCTCCCGTCGTTCGGTCCCAGCGCCTGCCAACCTAGCAGTTCGAAAGCACCCTCAGGTGCAAGTAGATAAATAGGGACCGCTTACCAGCGGAAGGTAAACGGCGTTCCGTGTGCTGCTCTGGCTCGCCAGATGCAGCTTGTCACACTGGCCACGTGACCCGGAAGTGTCTGCAGACAGCGCTGGCTCCCGGCCTCTTGAGTGAGATGGGCGCACAACCCTAGAGTCTGTCAAGACTGCCCGTACGGCGGGGTACCTTTACCTTTACCTTTTTAGTATGCTCCCAG